TGCAATAAGCAAACAATTCTTAACCGTAACTAGAGCTGTGTTCATACTCGAGAGGAGACACGTAAATTTAATCTCTAAAACTAACCGGCAAACTGGCATTCTTGTCGGGGGGGGGGGGGGGGCGAGCGGATGAGCAGAATCTGACTAAGGCTGTAGTTTTATTACATAGTTAACTGATATAATAAGCACAGTCGATGAGCGCTCTATTCTGCCATTTCATCTCTGCTTGAACCGGTTGCCAACTAAACATTCAAACCCATCAGGAGAGTTCAAGCATGATAAAAAGCATACTTGTGAGCTACACACACATCATCCACAAAACGATCTGCTGACAGGAAAAAAAAAAAAAAACAAACAGGATTTATTTTGCCCATTTGTTTCAATTTATTGTCAGGAATATGAACTTGCACACTACAAAGAACGACCCAAAGGATCAAAAGGGGCAGTGCTATATTTGAAATAAAATAAAAGGATGGGCTTTGTTGTTCTGAGGTTTTATAAGGAATGCAACAAAAGTGCAAATGACATAAGACATAACGTGGTGGGAAAACTTTCGGATGGACCCTGTCTGTCTTTGCTTCTGTAAATTGTCCAGGCAGGACAGACGAGTGAAACAACCTCCAACATAAAAGCCAGAAGGCGTATGTGTAAGCCTTCCGCCCACCCAACATGGATGCAACAGTCCATTTTCACATGGGAACAATAAATGCTGCAATATTATCTTCCAAGCATGATTCGACCTGTTTTTGCAGCCCTCTGCCTCGTGCTAAAAAATAAAAAAAAATAAATATGTCAATAAATACATACATTAATATTAGATTCACAAAACGTGCATGGAAAGTTTTGCAGTAAGTTTTTCCTGTCATCTACTCAGAAAATCATTGCAACCGACAATATTAAATATTACACTTGATACATAGTTTGGTCAAAGTAGAAGTCAACACAAAAATGTTCTTCACAATATGTTCTCTGTAGCCCTATTAGTCTAAACACAGCGTTCTGATTAATATTGCGTTTGTGGAACATGAGGTAAGCAGTAAAATCCACCTGTTTTTGCCCATCTCAGGGGGCGGCCATTTTGCCAGTTGCTGTCGACTGAAAATGACATCACATTTGCAAATGGCTCATCTTCATTAAAAAAAAAAAAAAAAAACACACAGCTGAACCGTGATTGGTCATTACCTGCGCCCAGAGCAACTCTGATGTCATTTTCAGTCGACAGAAAGTGACAAAATGGCCGCCCCCTGAAATGGCTAAAAACGAATAAATTGTGCTACTTAACTCATACACCAAAAAAAACAAACAATTTGTGTTTAGACTAGTAGAGTCGCTTTCAACATCTCCCTGTAAAGAAAATTTTGGGGTTGTCTTTGGTACGTGTGTACCCCGCTTTAACCTGACACACAGAGTCTGTTACCCATAAATGAAGGATAAGCAGACTCAACATACGTATCACAGTAAATTAGATAGGGCAGACTTAAGGTAATAAATAGTACATTTCATCTAATTTGCTTGTGGCTGGCTGGCATACCATTAGCGCAGCATCCCAAAGTTTAGTTCGAGCCACGTACCCCACGAAAAGGGACACTTGCTTTCCGATTGGCCGTGCTATGCTGTATCACCTCCACTCTTGCAACTTAATGGAGTATACAGTGCATAGTTTACAAAGCCAGAAGAGATCTATACAGACAAACACATACAATGTGACTTTCAAGCATTAAAAAAAAAACCATTATGTTCTCTGTTGTTCTGCTTTTCGTTGATCTTGCTGCTCTCAAGGACTGAACGTCATCGGGGAAGAGAGGTGAAATATATCGTGGCTTTTTCATTTCATGTGTGGTATATTCGGCAGCTCTCTTTTATGTACACACACACGCGCGCGCACGCACGCACGCACGCGCGCACGCACACGCGCACACACACACACACACACACACACACACACACACACACACACACACACACACATTTACTTATGATTTTGGTCACTTTGTGGAGGAAGTGAAAGAACGTGCCAACAAATAGCAAGGTTTGTTCAAGGGCTCGGCCAAATCGCATACAGTCATACCTCGGCTTTCGACCATAATCCGTTCCAGAAGGCTCTTCGAAAACCGATTTGTTCGAAAACCGAAACCACGCTCTTTTTCAAAAAAAATCTTTATTGAACACACCTGTTCACAATGGAACGCTACACGAGGAAGCGTCACTTCCTCGTCTACCCGAGGAAGCGTCATTTCCTCGTGTAAGGAAGGCGAGAGGAGTCAAGTGGTGCATTCAAGTGCGCTCAGTTTGTTCGAGAATCAAAATTCGGTCGTCATCCGAGGCATAAAAAACTCGAAATTTTTGGTCGAAAACCGATTTGGTTGAGAACAGAGACGTTCGAAAACCGAGGTTTGACTCTATTTGACAAGTGTGAATCCATTTTTGGGAATGTTTTACCCTCTCCAGAATTTTTATGGATTTGCCTTTAAACACCACAACAATGGACTTGAAGTTAAAAAGATTTTTTTTTTTTAAAACGAGAGCGAGAAGAAAAGGCAGAGTAGGTCCTCTACTAAGCTGCAGTAATTGTCGTTCCAACAAAGTCAGAGAGAATATACATCTCGGAGTATTGTTAAATGCGCTGCTTGTATGCGTTGCTGCTCCATGTGTGTTATAATTATTGCGACATCTGTTAATTTCCATGAGCCCCTCTATATGTCACATCCAGTCTTCATTTCCTCAAGGTGAAGTGATGATATACAAGATAATCTATTTCTTGAATGTAAAAACAGGTGTTAAAAAAAATGCTTTAAAAAGGTAGTTTTTTTTTTTTTTTTTTTTAATTTAAATGTGTTCAAAGCGTCTAGGAGGGGTACGACATATTTGTATAGGGCCTTTGTAGCACAGATTGCCGCGGGTGGGTCATCGGCTTTCACAAGTACACAGTCGGTATTTCTGAAATAATAAATGCGTTATTTCATGAAACCTCTTAAATGAATGCTGAGCTTCAATTACAGGCTATCGGTTTCATTCCAAAACCATTGTGGTGTTGTGTAAAGACAAATCCTACTGACTGTCATCGGCCAAATACTTACCAATTACAGAGTGCCGTTTTATCACATTATCTAAACAGAGTACAGAATAGTCTTTCGGGTAAACGGGTATTTGGAACCTGGAGTGGAAAACTTGACAAACCCAATTGCATCTTCCTGCCCCCGGTTGCGGGTTCCCCTCAGAAGCCGGGACTGTCATAGCTGCTGTGGCTGGAGTAACTGCGGTGACTGCGAGAGCGACTTCGACTCCAGCTGCGACTGCGAGTCCAGCTGCGGCTGCGGCTTCGACTCCTGCTCCTGCTGCGGCTCCTGCTGCGACTGCGACTGTAGCTGCTGTAGCTGCGGCTGCGACTGCGGCTGGAGCGCGAGGGGCTGCTGTCGTAGCTCGACGACGACGGACTCGGACGGTAGTACGGGATCGGACGTTTTCGAGCACTGGGAAATGGGGGGGGGGGGAAGAAGTGGATGTCAAAATCATCAAATCAAAAATCAGTTGTCTGATATTTGGTTGAGCAGATCATTGTTAGATGGTTGTGACCAGGACAGGAGCTAAAAGAGAGCAGCTATGAGGGTTAACCAAAAAATTAAAAAAAGCTGTGTGCACTCAAAGAAGAGAAGCATGTTGTTAGTTTCCTCATTAATAGCCACGCTGGAAGTGCTTCCGAAAGTAATTATCACCCAAAAGAACTTGTCAGTGAAGGCAAACACCAATAGACATCAACAGTCAAAAACAGTGTGGTTAGTACAGTGGTGAGTGGTGATATTCATTCCATGAAATCAGTTATTTATATTCCCAACAGTCTCCTCATTGTGTTGTGGTTTCTCTTGGCTACACCGCTTCCAGTTTGTGCGATGTTAGATTTTTTTTTTTTTTGCCTCATTGGATTTCTCAAATTAATCTGCCGAGAATCAGCAGTGCTTCGATTATTGGATATATTTTACTCAACGGCGCCACAGACGGCCCAGGCTTTTTCCGCAGTAACTTTTTGCATCCTTAACACTGATTTGCTTTCATGCATCGATGGAGCTCCCCAATAAAAGACAATTTGATACGCATCTTAACATATTTCAAAGTTGAACCATTAGATTCGGTTTCCAATTCAATTTTGTTTTTGGTTTTTGCAGCAATGGGTCCAATTCTTTTTATCCATCCATCCATTTTCCGATCCGCTATATCCTCACAAGGGTCACGGGGGGTGCTGGAGCCTATCCCAGCCGTCTACAGGAAGTAGGCGGGTGACACCCTGAACCGGTTGCCAGCCAATCGCAGGGCACACACAGACTAACAACCATCCGCGCTCACACTCACACTTAGGGACAATTTTGAGTGTTCAATCAGCCTGCCATGCGTGTTTTTGGAATGTAGGAGGAAAACGGAGGACCCGGACAAAACCCACGCAGGCAGGCAAACTCCACACAGGAAGGCCGACGCCGGGATTGAACCCACGATCTCTGCACTGTGAGGTCGATGCACTAACCACTGGATCACCGGGCCGCCGATTGTTTTTAAAAAATCAGATTTCAAATTCACCTTGCTTCGTAACGTGAGCATTCTCCTTCAGATTGATTAGAAAGAAAACTACTCCAGCAAATTTTGACTCGCAAAACATACTCCGCTATGGCTGTGCACACGTTCATGTTTATGTTACAATCAGCATTTCTGTTATGAGATCAATATTCCTTCTCACCTGCTTCAGACAATTTTAGATGACACATTTGTGTGCGGTTGTTAAGCATTTTTGTGTTGATGGCTTCCTTCATGATGACGTGATAGTGGTGGTAGAAAGATGTGGATTAAGTTACTTAAGTCCCCACCGAAGGCCAAACGAACAGCCCGCCACTTGGTTAGTACAACGCTATCAAGGTATTGCTGCTGTACCATAGTTGTAAATCAATTTTCTGTGTGTGTGTGTGTGTGTGTGTGTGTGTGTGTGTGTGTGTGTGTGTGTGTGTGTGTGTTGTTCCTTGAGCCAACGCGCCATGGCAACGCACAAGCAAGAGCAAGAAAGAACCTTGATAGCGTTTGTAAATTGTGTTATATTAGTGAGTGGGCAGAGTTTTAGAGTTGCTGTGAATTTCAGGAAAGGGGTGTGGAGGAGGAGAGAGAGATTAAAAAAAAAACAGGAGGAAGCCAGGTTTACTCTGGGGATGTTTTACTGCTCAGTCAAAGCTTCAGGACTCAGACTAGCTGGGTCCTACTGCGCGGCAACAGTTACCACGGCAACTGGCCCGCAGCTCAGGCGCATCTCCTTGTCTCAGCATCAGAACCTTTGAGGGCTGGAGTGAAAGACGAAAGCACATTTTACCTTTTTAACAATCATTTATTTCTGTCCACGTACGCCAAGGGGTGACAATTGATTTGACACTTGACACAAATTTCAGGTGGAAAAAAATGATAATTGCAGTATAGTCTGCTGGCCCTATTTTATGCATGCTCTTGTTGTAGTGAATGTATCTATTCTAAATAAAAGTGTATACTTACTTCGGTTGTACCGTTTAATATATTTACTTGAACAACCTTCCTATTGTGTCGCACCTTAAATGGACTATTTGACAGCTTGAAATTAATTTTTAAATAATTCGATTTGTGATGCTGGCCTTTTGATATTCAAGGAAACCAAATACAAATTTGATTTTGATGCCATCATGTTTATTATTTCACTGGAGATTAGACATGACACAAAAAGTTAGGGGTGAAATTTCACCACGAACCGAAAATACATTATAACCTTTACACTTGAACTTAATTTGACCAACCCTAACCTTTTGATTGCATGTCCAGCTGTTAATGTTTCTGCGCTTTTGGTACCACTTACAACCCTCGTACAAGTAGCCGAATGACAAAACTCACAACGCAAAAATTTTTGTGGCTCGTGAGGAGTGTAAAACAACACTAAAAGCAGTAAAAGCAGTTTTGCAGCTTGTGAACTCACATGCCCATCTCGCCATGGAACAGCTGAGAAGCCAATTGTCCCATTACTTTTGGTCCCTTAAAGAGAGGCATATATACATAGAGTACAGATGGAGATCTGCAGTACAGTGGATACACCAGGGTGGTTGAAAGCGGAAGAAAACACACAAAACAAGACCCGATTCATCCATTTTCTATACCGTTTATCCTGTTCGGGGTTTCTTGGAGCTGGTACCACATCCCAGCCTGTCTCTGGCTGAAAGGCAAACTACACTCGCGACTGTTCACCAGTCAGTCAGGAAATTGTACCACCCACTGCATCATCGGTAACTGATTAAGACTTGCAACAGTCAAATATTGGCTGAATGTCAACACACGACCAGAAGTCTTGTGTTACCTGGTAATCCTGCGAGCCTCCATGAAACTGGGTGAATCTCTCCTCCGTTTGCGAATGGGCGAGTAACTGCGAGAGCGGCGGCGGGCCCGGCTGTCTGTGTCGCTGTCGCAGCGGTTTGGGCTGTCCCTGTCTCTGCGTAACACGCAAAGCCCGGTAAACGCGCACAAGAGGTGACAAAAAAGGGAATCAAGGTGAGAGCGGGCGTGTGATCACCTTGAGGCGTTCTGTCTGTTGTGAGGGGACTTGGTCGTGCTGAGGCCACGGTCCCTGTGGGCACACGATGAGCGTTCGCTGCTCCAGGAGCTGCTGCGATGCCTGTTCTGTTTGCTCCGCGACACCTCTTTCTTTCTGCTTGACGTGTGAGAGTGTCGGCCTGACGAGGCTGATGGGCTGCGATTGTGGGCCTGACCTCGACCGGAGCGGTGGTGACGCTTGGAGGAATGGCTGCTTTTTGTCCTGGGAAAGGAAAACAAAGCTTTGTACAGTAGTCCTTTTAAAGTCTGTTATCTGTTAGTTCCAGAATTGACTGCAATTCTCCACAGCGCTGTGCCGCTATTAACAGACGTACTCCATCACATATTCCCGGCTTGTGCTGCTCTCTCGTCAAAGATAAAGTGACGTGGTGGTAGACTAGAGCAGGCCGAAAAAGCATGTCAATGAGGTTGCCATGTTGGCAAGGGAGGGAGTCCCTTCAAATGTAATGGGGCACAGACGTTAGCATAGCAACTGCCGTCGGCGCACAGCTAGTTATATTGACTTTTTAATCTATGGCTCTTATTTTTATTGTTGTTTTTACTTGTAAATGCTATTTTTGGTACAATACACAGTGGTGGTGGGGGGGGGGTCGGTGTAGCCATGGTATCTAATCCCAACAGAGGTTAAAAAAAAGCGCTAACACGGTGACTCATGAATGACACCAGATGCATGCCATTATATTTCCCCCCAAGCACCAACAAGGTCACTCAAATTGGCTCCTGTCATTCCCTTTAAATGTGACGCACTAGATGCACACTGACAGTTTCAACATGGTTGAGCACAAACGTTTTTGTTTTTGTTTTTTTTTAACATGGATGAAACCGCAAAACATCTGTGCCGATTTTTATCACGTGTGGATAAAAATGGATGATCAGATGCTGACAATTAGTGTGGACACGCCAAGATGTACTGTTTATACCGTATGGGCCTGAATATAAGACAGTGTTTTTTGCATTGAAATAAGACTGAAAACGTGGGGGTCGTCTTTTATTCGGGGTCTAAAAATTATACCCATTCACGACGCTAGATGGCGCCAGATATCATTGAAGCGAATGCTGAACTTGACTCCCCAGGCCAAAGTGAACCACTGCCATGAAGAATAAAAATTAAAAATAGCGGTAGCACGAAGAAGAAAAATAAAAAATAGCGGTAAGAAGGAAAACAGAAGAAAATAATAGAAGAGACAACAGAAAACGGAGAAACATAGTGACAATCTGAAGAAAAGTGGGCAGCTGAGGAGAAGTTATGATGTAATTTACATTTCAAAAACCAGAAGCCATTCATTTACGAATGTGATTGCACTTTAGATTTGAATGAGGCAAAATAACATGCTTTTTCTCTCAAATATATTGTTATAATCATTTGTTTTAGATGCACTGTAATTATTTTCTGTATAAAAATTAATTTGGTGTTCAAAAAGTCTTTTTTCAAATTTGAGTCTTGAAAAAGAGGGGGTCGTCTTATAATCAGGGCCGTCTTATATTCGGGCCAATTCGGTATTATGTGTGGAAGTGACTGCCATTTCCATTCCGTGTGTAGTGCAGAAGGACGCTTTTATGTAGGTGAAGGGGCATAGAAATTTCAGAAATTTATGATGATGTGATTGTAATCTGTCGTGAAACCTGCCTCTCACGCCAAGTCAGTTGGGACAGCTTCCAGCTGCAGTGACTTTGAAGCAGGGCGGCAAGGAGACAAAACAGATGGACGGATGGGGTCCAACAGGATATTAAAAACATTCTTCTTACTTTCTCTGATGGCGGCTGCTCCTTCCTCTGTGAGCGTGGTTGTTGTGGGAACGTGCCGAGTCGCTGCTGTGAGCAGGAGAGTGGCAGCCCTTATTCCGTCCTCGCTGACTCGCTCTCCTCCCTGATGTGTTCCCGCTGTCCACACTTCCAGCTTCACCCGCGGTGCAGGTCGGCACTGCTTGGTTCCTGCTGGGGGCGCTATAGAGCTTTTGTTCTTTCAGCAAAGTGGACTGGATGATCTTGGAGCCGGGAGCCGGTATCCGCGGCTTCTGTAAAGAAATGATAACCAACAAAGACAAAAACCAAAAAAAAAAAAAAAAAAAAAAAAAGGAGGAAAAAGGACAAAGGAGGATTAGAATTTTTTTTTTACGTTTTTATGTTACTGAGTGCTACGGTGTACCAAACGAAGGTAACATCAGAAAGAAAAAGATCTAAGTTTTGTCCATATGGCTTACAGATAGATCGTCCTCTATGGTGCAGCGCATGCAATACTTGGCATGCAAAATCATAATGAGGTGAAGAAATCATAACCGCAAAAACAAACTAGAAGAAGGTAGAGAGGGAGAAAGGCCCCCCAAAAAGTGAAACAAATAATAGAGCAGAGGAAGAAAGAGCTACAGATAGTGTAGAGAGAGAAAAAAGAGGACTTTTTGAAAAAAAAAAATATTTTAAAGTCATGATGTCAAAGAAATGAAAGTAAAAAGTAAGAGAAGACAACTGGACGGAACATCACAGAAATGGAGGGAACAAAATAAAGATCACAATTATTCAATCAGTCGAATCAGAAACAATAATCAGCTACTCAATTTTCTCTTTCTGGATTTTTTTTTTCCCCCTGAAGACAAGTGCTGACATGTGAACAGCGACCCATTTTCGTTTCTTTTTTATTCTTGTTTAACTCCCTTCTGGTTAGCATCCACTTACCAATAAAGTGGTATTCCCTCCTTTAGTAGGTAAGGTATGAAGAAAAGGGAAAAGTGGGGCAACATAAGTGCATCATTAGATTTCAGAAAATGCAAGAGAAAAAGACACAAAACCCTTCCCTGTCAGTGACTCATGAGACAGTGCATGGAAATCAATGGGAAAAAAAAGTCAGAGCAAAGAGGACCATGACGGCATGTGGGGTCCGTCGCACCTGGCGTATTTCCTCAGCACTAACCACCTCCAGGAACATCAGGTTTGACCCTTTTCCTTCCCGAGTAATTCACTCATTCACCCGGACGCCACTTTGAGCTTTTCAATTCTGTGGGCTTTTTTAATGTAACTTACTCAAAGTATAAAAGTTTGTTTTGTCTTCAGGGAGCTTCCGTGAGCCAACCAGTAAAAAGTATGTTGTGATTGAAATACCCTAGACCAGGGATGGGCAACTTCCCGGTAAATGATGGAGGGGGTCAACAATTTTTCATCTGTGCTACTTGGCGGCCATATAGGACCACCCAGTTCCGAATCAGATGTATAACATGAGTCTCCACTGCAAAAATGCAACCATGTATGGCATACGGCTCGACCAATAAGTTTGGGAGAAGCACTATGTGCACATTTCATCAGTAAGAATGTGATTTTAAGTGCTCCCTTATAACGTAGATCTCTGAGTGCTATTCAAAGATTTGTCTGCATCATTGTTTCAGAACCATCAACAATGAAATTAAAGCAAAGACCATCAAGACAAAGTTCACTGCGAAACTAGTCTTTGTCAGTCACAATTCACGATACGGAGATGATCTACCGTATTTTCCACACGATAAGGCACTTCAGAGTATAAGGCGCACTTTCGATGAATGACCTATATTAAAACTGTTTTCATATGAAGGGCGCTCCACATTATAAGGCGCACAGGAGGAAGCTAAAATAGTGGCTGTGGTTGCGTTATTAATCCACTAGATGGAGCTACGCTAAAGGGAATACAATACAATACAGCTTTATCTATACAGAGCTTTAACAACCGCTTCAGCTGTATCAAAGCGCTTCACAGAACATTTAAAAATACGACCTCCAAAAAAATCTGAATAGTGGTCCATTAATAAGGTGCAGCGGATTATAAGGCGCACTGTTGACTTTTGAGAAAATTGAATGCCATAGGTGCGCCTTATAGTGTGGAAAATATGGTAGTCTGAATGGCCGTTGCAAACAATGCAAGTCTTTCTTTGAAAGGCACTCATTACTCCATACGGGGGATCCTACTGTAAAAGAGAGACTGATGTTTTCAGAAAAAACTGAAGTCAGCAACATTGGCAACCTAAGATGGCTAACCGCTAGCTTTAGCCGCAAGGGGCCTATTGAGAGTGCATTCATATTTAAGTCTGTGGCTCTCTTGCATTAAAAAAAAATGCCATTCAAGGATGGCACAAAACAAGCAAAAATTATTAGGCCATCTCACACTGTAGGTTACGACAGTATATACTGTATATAAGTACAATTAAGACATGTCTGCCATCTGGTGGTGATTGGTGATATTATTAGCTAAACTGACAGTCGACTCCACCATATTCGCAGTTCGGCACCCAGGGATTGCATATTGATTTTCTTCCTCTTTATATATATATATATATTTTTTTTTTGAATTTTTCATGGTTTTTGTAGGGTCATCATTCATTGTGAAGACTTATTAGGGTTTGTTAAAAAAAAAAAAAAAAAAAAAGTCTAAAACATTCCCCAACCCCAAAACATGTTTTTTTTTTTTTGAAAATTAATGAAAGGGGTCACTCAGATGGTGGTTGCAGGCTGCATGCGGCCCGCTCGCCACCAGTTGCCCATCCCTGCCCATGACTATATTTTGGTATTGCAAATATTTCATACGATTTTAGATATTTACTGTGTCTTAATACATGAATCTGAGGTCATTGAAAGTATATATGTCTCCTGAAACAACAAATGTGATGAGTATTCATGGATAAATGACTTAAAATACTTGAAGGTCCACACTTTCCAGGGCCATCTCTGTCTTAAAGGCCAAAGAAAAATCTCAAGACCAAAGCAAACAATCGTACGATTATCAAGTGTACAGTATATCGATTCACAGGACACTAATGGGGACACGTGCGCTTATGAGATCCAACACAAGAGCTCCATCAAACACATTGGTCATACAAACAAAATAAGAATGGCACCGAGTAGAATGCATGTCCGCCGGGATGGCAAAACCCAGAATGTCAAATGAAATTGACTTTATTACCAGTATCTGCATTGTGACAGTCATAAAAATCTCAATCAACAAAGACATATTTGTAGCAACCGCCTGTACATATACAGAGGGCGACGGAGTTCTATTCATACAACAACCCCCTACCCCAGATTTGGATGGAAGTTGAACACGCTAACGTAGTAGTAAAGTTACAATTGCAGTACATTTTGGATGAAAAAAAAACCCATTGTGACCAAACAGTAAAATAAAAAACAGAAAGTATGGTGGTAACTGAGCATGCCTTTTCGGGACATGTTCCTTGTACAGTAGGTGTCAAATTGTGTTGATTCCAATTGGCCACATGACCAGTAGGTGGCACTGTGTCTCAATTCAGAGACGGAGACTAACACATACCAAAGACAGACACCAGGACCACGTTAGTAGAGGGAATGTTCTGATCCAAGGCAATTGAGTCATGGACGTTAGCTTAGCTCAAAAGTAGCATGTCATATGTAGTGTTTCATAGCTATGGAGGCAGCTTGTATAAGCATCTACCAAGCTTGCTATTTTTGGTGCATTGTATAGTGGTTTTGTCATCGCAGCTCGGGCGAACAGCTGAAACCCATTATCCCCCCCCATTATTAATGGTTCTGTCTTGAAAAAAAATAATTGAGTTTTGGCTCACACCACAAAGTTTAATGGAAAACGGTAGTATTGTTTTTACGTAACACAGCGATAGCCTGATTTACAAGTACCCCCGATGAACACGTTTTTCAAGTGAAGAGCTGTCGCTTGATGGTTTCTTTCTTTTTCTCTTTTTTTTTTGCTTTGAATTAATCAAATTCAAATGTCAAGGTACCAATGTACTAATTCATTAACAAAAGACAATCAAAACATAAACCGCATACTTGGTGGATGTAATAAAGCTCAATTGTTGTTGCCACTTTTACCCACTCTCTGACAATACCAATCAAACGTGAGCATTATTGTCTTGAGTGAAGACGTGTTTTTTTTTGTTTTTGTTTTTTTTTAATATACAGCCCTTGTATTGGATCTCATTCGATTGTGCAAGGGGAGATGATAATGTGGCTGGTCAGTGGAGCTCTGAAGTGTTTCACAACCTGAGATGCTTTAAATGTGATCCTTCCGGTAAATAGATCCTCTGACCTCCAGACAGAAAACAGCTGAGTAATATGCTGTCATCAGAAAACTCGCACTCAATAGTGACAACTATTGTGGGGGAGAAATAAAAAAATCGCGGAAATCACAAGATGTTCGATTCACCTACAGACAACAAATGTATTCTACTCAAACGGAAAAAAACCCAAATGTTGACAGAGAAAATGGACCAGGGAGATCCACCGAAATACCTGGCTTTGAGAATGAATTTGAGGCGCAAAAAGAAAAAGCAGCGCTCTCAGTATGTAAGAAATCTTCAAGGGTGAAATCATCATCGATAAAGTTTATTTTTTATTTTTTTAAAGACCACTTGTAAAACAACAGAGAGAGAGAGAGAGAGAGAAAAAGAGAGAAACATATCACTCAGGCTAGGGTGCTTGTCACATTCTCATCTGCATAAAGATCACGTGCGTAGGGCAAAGCGTTACCTACCTTCCGTTTCAATCAGTGACACGGATGCAATATCAACAAAACAAGGAAACAAAGAAAAAAAGATAGGAGAAGGGAATGTTCTCCGCAGCGATATGGGAAAAAGACAATGACCTCTTTTAGTATCAAAGCTACATTTTCGTCCAGAGACTAACGAGAAATAATCAAACCCCATAAAATCTAAACAAAATGGAAAAAAAAAATCCAGATGGAAAATTAGGATGATTCTAGAAACGACATGATTTGCTTTGTCTTTTTCGCTTTGTACAAATGCAGCCATATTTGTATCCAAACAGGGAGGGGGCAGAAGATAGAGGCGAGTGGATATTCAGTCGTTTATTATTAAAGTAGTGGAAGGGGGGGGGGGGGGTAAGGTGTGCATGCAGAGCTGGCAGATGTGGAAGATATGCGGGAAGGGGAAAAAAAATGCAACAACAACAAGAGTCAGCTGTGAGTCACACGACACAGATGGTTGGACAAGAGGGAGGAAAAGTGTCACCGCTAAGATGAGCTAGCGAGAGTTGGTACATTTGAAAGGGACCCTAGTCATAGTTTGGCCCGGGCCTTCGTTACATTTGACTCCATCTTTGACTACCACTACTCCTACGAATATTACTACGACTACTTCTACAACTATTTAATACTACCACCACTAACAGTACGACTGCTATTTTGATGTCAGCGCCTCTTTTTGGTAAAGTGTGTTTATTTTTTGAAGACTGAAACCGTAAACGGCACATATAAAGCTGTGTCTGGAATCACCCCCTATCCATTACTTCCTTCCAATGTGCTATTTTGCAGTGCTCTTCAAATGTGTAGTGAGTAGAGGTTATTCCCTATGTATCCCACAATGCATCTTGAAAATAGAAAACAGCCGGCAGATACTAGAAGAGTACTACATTCGAGACAGAAAATAGCTAATAAAGAGCTGTGAAGCAAAAACATCTTGACTCAAAGTAATGCAACACATTAACACAGCCGGGCATAAAGTGCTTTGCTTGTAATAATTTCGGAGCTGTTAATTTTATGATTGACTCATATTAAAACAATATGTTATTAGAATGACCCATTTGTTCAACTTTTTTTGGACAGAAGGTTTATCACCGGTGAAACACTTTTTCAGTGACCCCCCCTCCCCCCCGCCACTCCCCCACGATATAAAAATCCCTATAAAGCATTTGTGATTAGGGAGTAGGGAATAAGTAAATGATTCCAAATGCAGCCTTAAAGTGAGCCTATGGTTTCAACTTGGGTGACAGAGAAACATGTTGAAAATGGCTCGGGTCCCTTTAAAATACAACGCCAATGTTAATAATAAAAGTATGTGATGACCCACATCATCCGTAGGGTCCGCTTCCTTTAGTTTACGCGGCAACCCCTGTTTGACGCTGTCTCACTCTCATCCTTGGATGCTTTCCCTTTGGTGTGCTGCTTTTCATCAGAGCTGGGAAAGTAACCATGACATGTACCCAGCTTGTATGCAAACACATTTAGTCATAGATGAAGCTTTTTATCGTTGTAAAAAAAAAAAAAAAAAAAAAGAATGAAATGAAATGAAAAAAAACATTCCTAAGCTATTCATTATTTCTACGCAAGAGGATTAGGATTCGACTTTAAAGTCAGAATTCTGAGAATAATGTCAGAATTCTGAGATAATAACGAGAATCTTGACAACCTTTTTATTTTTTCTTCACCGGCTCTTCTCCTCTTCCATAAATTTTAGTCTTGCATGAAATGTCATGGTTTTTTTGGAACATTCAGTGATCTAATAACGAGAATCTTGACAACCTTTTTATTTTTTCTTCTCCTCTCCTTATAAATTTTAGTCTTGCATGAAATGTCATGTTTTTTTGGAACATTCAGTGATCTAAAAAAAATGACAACACGAATCATTTTAAAACTTAAAACCATCGGTGTGACCTATAACCTGAACACACACATATGCCGTTATATTTTCATTTATTAATTGCCAACACTTATATGTTAATTTCCCCATTTTTGTCTAAGCACAGCCCCCCCACCCCCAAAAAAAAAGAAATCCCTAGGGAAAGCATCCAGTAGTGTTTTGAAATGAGACAGACCCAAATGTAAGTCAGGGGCCAAAAATATATATATATATGTATAAAAACTGAAACTGTCAAAATCAATCAATCAATCAATCACATTTGCGAAACCACACAGCTGCAGCACGGTAATTCAAAATTGATTTCATCCAGGAATGCTCACACAATAACCACCTTTTGTTGAAGGTTAACGACACCTAAATAATGGTTGCTAAGATGCTTGAAATATTCAAAGGCAAACGAATTATGCGCCTTTACGACATCGTAAAAGTACAAGATCGAACAAAGCTTGTTTGCCATTCGCCACCCTAAAGATCAGCATAGACAGCAGTCAACACAGAGAAGATACTGCCACCTGGAGGCAACATGCACACTGACATGGAAAAAAAGTCTAATCGATTAACTCCTGCTGTAGTGCCCCTGCAGGAAAGGAGAATCTATGACTGAGCAGAGCTTAGTTTTGACAGAAAGACGACTGGATTGACAAGAAGAAACGATTCCACATACCCAGTTAAGCTACTTGGTCCAGCTCCAAAGCATTTGAGTGCTTTTTATATAAACAAGAGAGACATTGGGGAATGTAATAATTGTTAAACACCACGTAGATTGATTAAAGGAGTAAGAAAAAAAAAATGAATGGCAGTAGCAGACAGATCAGATGAGGCCTCAGAAGACACATGCAAGAATACAAAACAGGAGGCAGTAATGTGCTTTAAACGACTTCGGAAAGATTCGTTTCGATAATATAGCGATCATTCTAGTTTAGTTCTGGTTGCGTTTTTCCCCAAAATAAATGTTCTTGTCCTAAGGAGGGCTTGGTAGACAAGTTAAAGACGAAATTGAGTGACCTATTTTCTAGCAACGTAAGAGGGAGCTACACATGAACTACAGGCACGTGTAAACTTGGGCTGAAACACTTCGTTTTTCAAAAATCGAAATAACGATTACAGACAAAGCAATCACGTGATTATCAAAGCTCCGTTTTTTTTTGTTTTTTTTTTGTTTTTTTTTTGTAGTGCTCCTGACTGACCCTGAGTCTGTTCTATCAACTTTCTCACAAAAAACGCCGTCTCCCTCCTCTCCTGCCAAGCTCACGAATCAGAAGCAGCAGGCTACGAGTGACAGGTCATGCAAACCAATCAGCTCCAAGCTGCTCTTCGCAAACTGGGGGTGGGCAAGCTACCTTGCGCGGCATCGTGACTACGGACGTGATTGAGGCACGTTTATGGACGCAAGCCATGGTCTGTCTTTGCTATCACCAAACACCGGAAAAACGTGCTTCGGTGTATAGTACTCGTTTCACAGAAGTCTGGCTAGAACAACTTAAAGCAGAGAGCAACCAGCTTTGAAAAGCAAATTAGTGGATAAATTGTGTTGATAGAGAAAATAGTATAGCAAAGAACACATGACCCCCCTGCCCCCCAAGAAAATTAATCGAGTCAAGCAGGACAAGATTTAAAATATAAAATTGTTCTAATATTAGCAATAGATTTGCATTTCTTTGCTCTATTTTAAACCCCAAAGTATAAGAAGCAGAGAGACAAATGTTCTGATTATTTCTTCGACAAGGAAATAATTATGTTTCACATTTAAAGAACAATACTGCCGTTATAATTTGTATGCTTACGTTTATACGACGCTAGCTACAGTTAGAGTCAAGAGATTCAGTTTGTGTCCTGATATGAATTTTTGGTCATACCGATCAGCCCTCAGTCTCTTATTTGGGGAGTGAGGGAAGTGAACCGAATTAACATCGGACCGTCCCAGTTGCAAAACTCCAAATTGACACACAGGAGATCTACTATTGATCTTTTCTATTTAGCCACACATGAACTATTTATCATTTTTGTGTGTGGATTATTAGTATTATCATTATAGTTTCAGCATATTTTCTCCAATTTTGTTTTCCACGTACTACATTTTGTACACAATTCCCCCCCAAAATTATATTTTGATCAGGCTCTAAACGGCATGCATATTATGCCACTTAATTGCTTTGGGAAGCTGCAGGGGTTGAAAAAAATGCAATTTGCTCAGGGCAGGGATAAGAGCAGCTACAGCTTTCTGGGTTTTTCAGTTCATGGAGTGATTACATAAATAGCTTTCGATATCATGTGCCTGATTGGGGTCGCCATCATTTTCCATTTTGCTTTGAAAAGTTCTGTAACACCTATTTGTGTTATTTACACACATCCTTGGTATATCCTTGATATCTGTGCGCAGTGTTTGCAGTCAGTCATACCTGCCATGAACTCGCTAAACTTTTTACCCCCCCTTATTATATTCATATGCCTCAGTGAGCAACCACCTGAAAGGTACCACAGGTTATTTTGCTCATTATTTTGGCATCATAATATTCTTAGATGGCTCAATTTTGCATGTGAGGAACATATGCAAATTTTTTACTCAGGGGATCTATCCGGAACGAACACACACACACGCGCACAAACGCACGCACGCACACACACACACACACTCTCTGAAGGAACCTTCGTCTGTGGTGCCACCAAACAAGAACAATGAACAAGATGCCAGAGGATTCAAAAGAAAGCCAGATACAAAGCAGCGGGTCTTCTACACATCACATATCAGGACAATCAGAGCGCATATGCCCTGTAACCTATGAATTACTGATGAAAAGCATAAAGAAAATGTTTACGTTAGAAACGGTGGGCAGGTTGGGGAAGTGGGGAGGATTAAGGGGGTAGAATAGAGGAGATTACATACATCTTGCACCTTATCACCATCTGTGTGGTTGAGTCTGCCGGCTTTGTGGCAGTTGTGACTGCGCTTGGGGTGGTCTCCATTATGGCAAGCGGTGGGACTGTCGGGGCCGGGGGATAGTGAAGCACTTGCTGCCTTCTTTCCACCTCTCTTGTGCTTGGAGTTCAGTCTGGAAAAGAAGAGCCAATAAATGACAGATTTTTTTGGTCCACGGTAAAATACAAATTGTCACCATCCATCTATCCATTTTCAACAGCACTTATGCTGAAGAGGGTCGCGGAAGTTGCTGGAGCCTATCCCAGCTGACTTTGGACATAAGGCGGAAAAAAAACCCTGAACTGGTCGTCAGTCAGTCAGTCAGTGGGAACATATAGACACGAACAACCATACACACCGTCACTGAGTGGAAAGCGATCCCACGCACATAGGTCAGGCGAGTGTACCACTACACCATCAGCGACTTCTTAAGTAAATGCCAACGGGATCAGCCCCTGACAAGAACAGTGGTTTGCAGCCCGATGGTTGAAAAGAGAGTGACCCCCAAATCAAAAACATTCGCAAATTTGGCTTGAACATTTTAGATCATGTGTGGTAAACGTTCTTTGTTTCAACAAGTTGTTGCTACATTGGATTTCATAAGGCAGTGTATGAATAAAAGTTGTTTTTTTTTTTTTTTTTTTTGCATTTACCATGTACAACATTGAATGCATGCACATAGATGACAATAATAATTAACTTCACCAAGCTAGCAAATTTGATGGCCAACGAGTCAACGTGTTGACATTGGGGGCACTCCTCGACTTATTGGTCTCGCTTACGTGGTGGCATATATGATTTATTTTATTTTTTCCGAGATTAAATACCGCATGTCACTCATTTCTGTTCATCATATTTTACCTTATGTCCACATGATGGCCATAAACACACTTGATGTAATCCTACTCGCACACTGCACATTTTTCAGCCTGTATCAATGTGTCTGTCCCATACTGTTTTATGTTATCTTCTGCCATTTGAGTCAAATCATATTTCTAAATAAATGTAAATAATAGACTCCCCCGAAGGCCTTTAAACTATTACATACACAGTGATTTGGATTGAACACCAGGAAATTGCATTTGCGTTTAAATACATCTCATGGGGATCATGATAAGATATGCCAACATGTCCCATTTTTATTCTAAACCTCCCCAAAGAAAGGAAAATAAATGAATTCTAAGTGCTTGTGACACGCCAGGGTGATACCGCTGTGTGGGGAAAATCACACACGTGTGTCATTTGTGCAATGTACCTGCTGGGAGATTTGGAGGCGCTCCCAGCGGATGACAGAGAAGCGCTGCGGCTGCTGCAACAGCTGCCTTGACGCTGTACGCTCCTCCCGGGGGTCTCTGCGGGGGACCTAAACGAAAAGCCACAAACGGACAAACAGACACGCACAAAACAGGAAGGAATTTGTATGTATGAGTACACCACAGGGACACACACGCAAGTGTGCAAACTCGGTCATCCATCTGATTGTATATAAAGCGGGACAAGGCACAGAGGAATATTTTGAGCTTGAGCCAATGGATAGTAGAAAGCGGGGAAGAAAACCAATTGGTGTTTTATACTCTTAAGCATTCTATATAAAACTGAATCTGACAAAAGATTTAAAAAAAAAAACAATATAAATGTATGACGGACAACTTGCTCACAACTCAGCTGATTGTTTCACTGTTCCAGTCATCTATTGCTTTCTCAAATTAAATTCTGAAATCTGCAAAATGCACAGTATCTATATAATCATTGTAGTACGGTGGTATCAATCAAATAATTCTGACAGCTTGACATGGGAATAATAGAAGATGTTCCCAGGGGTTGATGGGTGACTCACCTCTTTTTCTGTTTATTCTTATCTTTGTGTTTGTCCTTTGGGCTGCTTGACCTGAGACAAAATTGAGAGACCGGTCAAGAACAATTTTATATTTAACAGGTCATCACTCCCTTTCCTGGACTATATATTGGATTCTAACCCGAACACCAAAGAAAATGTGTCATATGGCGGTGTGACGATCTTCGAGAACAGGGGTGGCGTAAGATGAAAGTTGACCAAAAAAATTGTATAACCAAAAACACGCTATTCGAGGATGAACTCTGTGTGCTGTACAAAATACACCAAGAGCAACTGACATCGCAGTTTAATTTGCAATTAAACTGTATCCAGTTTAACCTTGTAAAACCAATGACAGAGAAAATTAAGCATCGCGTGTCCTTCGTTGTTTCATTGCGCAATATTTTTCACTTGCCACTTGGTTTCCAGTTTCCTTCTCTTTCCCCACACACATACCTGTATCTCCTCTTTTTGGTGGAGCCTGATGCCGACCTACAAAAGTATAACAAGGCTATTATTAGACAGCTTCAGAAACTGAATTATTCATGTGTGTACTGCAGGAAAGATATTTTTAACCGGAGAATTGATTTGACATAATTCCACATTGCGATTTGTGATGGTGGCTGACCTTTTACAAGCAGAAAAATAACAGTGGAATTTCAAATAATTGCTGCAAATATTTGGACTAAAATTCACGACCGGCCCCATCTAACACGTGACTCAATGTCAGAATCCAAACACTGGCATGTCCTTACATGCAATTACTATGTGTGAAAAGAAAGGAAGCTCTTGTGAAGTCAGATGCAGCTTCCTGGTTCCTGCATGAGATACACTATATTGACTTTATTTATTGATCCAGGCGTTCAATGACAGTTCCCCCGCCGCGCACAGTCGTCCATATCACTTTAATGTCACCCTTGTCGCGGTTTCCATGGAAATTCGTGAAGGTCTGTGGGAGTTGTTCCTATTTTACGGAGGAGACCCACAGCGTCCCTACCGATTCACACACCTACAGCGTGCGCTGGCGTGGCAGCAGTAGAAAGGTGAAAAAGGGGTAATAAAACTCTCACGGGCTGATACAGTATATGAATTATTGCAGCAACCCATTTTTCCCCTTCGGAGGGAGCCACCTGTGTGCTTGTGGCGAGGGGGAGTCGTTCTGGGGAACTCATTGTTCTGTTATTGACAAAAATAGCCGCATAGGAAATGCATGACACTATTACATAAATCTCAGCTGTTTTGCCAAGATGTTTACAAGTACAAGTAGCCGTATGAATTTCATGGCCTCGTAAGAATCCAGTACTGCCCCCTCACTTTCCAACCGCATGTGCGACTTAAAAGCGGCGAATATCAACAAGGGAGGCCGTCTCTGGGGTGGAAGCCTTTCTGCTTTTCCTACATGCCTCGGCCATGCATTATTCAAGCAGCGACAACATGTGCACCGCAGAGCAGCTGTAGTGTGACACTCGGGTGACAGAAGAGAGGCAGAGAGGCGCGAGATAGAGGGGGTGTGGCTGAAAAGTGGGGGACAAGGGTCCTGTAGTGTTTGATAATTGAGAAGAGGGTCATTATTTCTTCTGGTATGCAAATCTGCTGCACACAAGGTGTTGTTCGGGCTGTACATTTGGACCCACTAGCGAAACTGGAAGACAACATTCGAGAATTTCTTTTAGTCCCCATGATAAACTATATTAACGAGTATATTGTGTGTACGAAAAAAAAAAAAGCATAGGTGGTTCCATTCTGTGTGTGACTGGACTGGTATGTTTGTATTTTTCTGTATGTATGCAAATGACAGAGGGTCATATTATGTGTATGCAAGCGTGTATGCAAGGGCAGATTTTTTCATTCTGTTCATGTACCTGAAAAGGACAAAATTTTACATGAGTCGAAAAGTCATATTTTTAGCAAAATACTCCCAATATAAAAGTTGATATTCTGATGAGGTAGTAAGTTAGTCTTAATTTTGCCAATGGCTATGTTTTTGTGCGCAGTAAAAGTCTAGCACGGGCTGGGTATTGCAATTTCCGCAGATGCGTGCAGCTTGGCGCAGTTAAAAATGGGTGTCTTGCGCCGTTGTGGGTGTGTACACAGCTGACTTTCTTCATACTCACAAAGCCTACTTTCACAATCCTTTTTCCTGCTTTCTTACCTTCCATCATTTATTTCTCACCTCCTTTGCTTACTATCTGTCTGCAACTTCCTCCCTGTCTTGCCTCTTTTTCATCTTCCCTTTTTCTTCCTTTTCTTTCATTCCTTTCTTAGGCACTTTCTCCTCTTCTCTGCTAAGGCAAACGGAAGCAAGGTCAACGCATGAAAGGCCAATGTGGTTAACGAGAGGGGAAATCAGTTGCTCTTCAACAGCAAGAGTGAGATTTTTTTTCCCTGAACATTAATAGCTTCCAGTGATGACTCACATATACTTTATACATTGTTTATAAATACACACACCTGGCATGCTTGTGTTTCTTCCCACTCTTTTTCTTCTTCTGTTTGCGATTGGGTGATGAGCTGCCAAACCTGTCAATGGAAACTTCATGTGTCACGCTTAGTCAACGACTCACGCCCACTGTGCCATGAAACACCGTCAGGCATGCAGTGAGAAACTATCCATTTTCACTATAATTGATTATTTATTTAGTTTAGAATCATTTAAATTATGTATCTTTGTTCATCTATCAATACCGGTGACATATAGTGACAGGTAGAACAATTAATTGTTCTTCCGCCACAATCCAACTGTTTCCATTCATACATCAGAATAATTCGCTCATGAGTACTTCTGACGACACACATGTGAAGGATCATGTGACAACCATAATATGTACTTGTCCTTTAACTCTTTCTTTACGCTTTTCCTCACAAAAACGACTGACTTGTTACACACCAGATTCGTTTTATTTTGCATCCTCCCCAGTTACCGTATCTTCCGCACGATAAGGCGCATCGAAAAGCATTCCGTAATCTCGCGCGCCTTATAATACGCTGCGCCTTGTATATGGATCACTATTCTGATTTCTTGGAGGTACTATTTTAAATGTTCTGTAAGGTGCTTTGTTACAGCTGCAGTGGTTGTGAAGGCTCGATATAAATAAAGCTCTACTGTATTGTATTGCCGTTAGCGTAGCTCCATCTAGTGGATGCATAATGCAACCGTAACCACTATTGTAACTTCCTTCTATGCGCTTTATAATGTGGTGTGCCCTATTTATGAAAACAGTTTTAAAATAGGTCATTCATTGCGCCTTATACTCCGAAGCGCCTTATTGTGCGGAAAATACAGTAGGATATCAGTGAATGAATCACTCTGTGTATCTATCCCAAGGCTATTGAATAATCTACAAGAATACTGTACAAATCTTTTTCAATGACGTTATTTTATCAGCCACTCCAAGCAGCGTACATCCACTCACCGACTTCTTCGACGGCCAGATTTCTTCTTCTTTCTTTTCTTTGGTCGTGGGGATGGAGAGCTGCTTGATTTTCTCTTTCCTCTGAAATATCCACCAGACAGAAGTGGATGAGCGAGACTTTTATGGCAAGATCTAAAGGTCACATTCAGACTACCGTCATGATTTAAAAATGAATATAACAATACTGTAATATACCGATATAAATAGACTGATAAACTGAAATTGAAAAACTTTCTGCATAAGCGGTAAATACAAACACATCCAGCACATGATTTATCTTTGCTGCAACTGTAAGGAAGCGCTTGTTGAGGACAATTCAAGTGCAATTTTTTTTTTTATCTCAAAACTCGCATTTTATCTGTTCTAATCAAATCAAATCGGTCGGGTCCGCGTGAAGATAATACACGGATGATTTAATGAATGACTTGAGTATTAACAACGGTTCAACGTGACACAATGTGTATCGAGCGTGTCATTGACCTGTTGTCACTGTGATAATCATCGGCGTAGTCTCCATCTTCATCGGCAGGCAATTCACCGTCATCCTCTGGGTAGTAGTGCATGTGGTTGACCCTGAAACATGGCAGGAGATGGTTCAGAAAAAAAAAGGATAATCTGCTGTTGAAGTTCAGGAGAGTCATTTTTTTCAATGTATGTCTTGTGGGATTTCGAGCAGGAAGGAGGCATTGAAACAATAAAAATAAGTAACTGCTTGAAACAAAAGGTGTCAGCCGGGGATTAAACGACTAAAGTACTGCAATTATTGTGACCAATAAATAGATGGTCATCCTGGTTGAGCAGTATTTCTTTCATTTCAAGACTTTTTTTTAATGTTGTGCATTATATCACAACAGTTGTTATTGAAAATAACGTTATGCTTCCTGAAGGCAGTCATATATTGTTGTCGTTCCATTGCACCTCCCAAAAAAAACAAACCAAAAAAAAAAACCCCCTCTTTTTTTTTTTTAAAGTCATGCTATACAAGAGCAATTCTTTTCTTTTGCTCATGTTTAATCCAACATTCCAAAAACATCTATGTTAGGTAATTTGAAGACTCTAAATTGTCCATGGGTGTCCATTTGAGTGTGAATGGTTCTATGTCTATACATGCTCTGTGAGTGCCTGGCGACCAGTTTAGTGTGTACTCTACCTCTCACTGAAAATCAATTTAACAAGGTAGTACAAAAACGGGTATACGAAATGAATGAAGAGATCATCTTGAAGACACTAGTAAACATCAGCAGTCGCGCCCAGAATCCTCCTTTCCACACCACCCTCCTTGGTGAGTTCCCTGAGCCGACACCTCTGACCTTGCTGCCGCCACAGGCGCTAAATAAAAGGTAGGTGTGAAGGGGGGTGTATTGCAGTGATTGGTTTGCCTCATGCAATTCAATTTCGTTGACCTAACCCCTTCACAGAACTGGGAGAAAAAACAAAACAATAACAGGGCTTAGTACATACGATATACAGAGAGAGGCAGGCCACAGGACAGGCAGCGAATGTTTAGGTTATTGGAATTAGAGCAATGCCGATTAGCCCTTACAGGCAAAAATCCTCCATTTGAGGGGACTGAGTAAAGAAAGAAAGAGGGTGGAGGAACACACAAAAAGAAGCCATCAAAGTAAAGGGGAGTGAAAGCAAACACGGGGGGGGGGGAATTTATTCTTGAATCTCATTAAGTGCAAGAGCAGACCAGTGATGTCAGTAGTTTGAGTGTCAAGAAGAAGAGCTCGTCGAATATAATGTATTACATAGATTTGGTTTGGTGAGAATTGAACTGGAAGCTAACAGTATTTTGTACCATTTTCCTAAATAAGGAAAAAAAAAAAACTTACACTGGTTGTGATCCGTCTCTGGTGATGACCCCCTCTTTGTCCATCAACATTTGTCGGAATGTGCTCACTTTTTGTTGAATCTCCTCCTCCGTGTACCTGAGCATGTACAAGAAGACAATAATAAGGTGCTGGAAAAGGCTGTGTGAATGTCATTGGTCATCACTGCAACATTTTTTTTTTTTTTACATACAGTAACAGTAAAATCAATATCAAAACAATTGACAGATCCTTTATCTTGAGTGAATGTTGTCCAAATATAAGTGACATGTTTTTTTTTTTTTATTATATTAAGGCAGAAAGTACAACTTGCTGTATCCAGAGGAGGATGCCGACATGTTGACATAGAGAGAGGGGAATGTCCAGTGCTGTGTTGCCATGTTAAATTTAATGTCGCCCATCTACAGGGATATTTCACTCGGTTTTGGTTGTCAAATTGTGAGTGGATGGATACAGACAACTACATCAAACCCTTTTACAATGTGCTATGCAGCTTTTCACATCAAGAACAGTTTTCTCTGCAAGGTTGTCAATAATAATTCAGCCAGCTTCACCGAACAACCGTAAGTGCAGCAGTTATAGTACGTCAGTCCTGTTCGGCTAACAGACTGTCAAACGATTGACATGCAAGTCAGCATATGTTGGAACAGGGCACTGCACACCGAGCGGATGTGCTGATGGACTCACACTTGTCACATCATCCACCCCACATTCTGCCTTTGTAGTGGCAGTAATGAGCTCTAATGAGCTAAAGGGAAGCACTGAGCGGAAGAATGGGAGAAAAAGAATGATGAAGCTGTAAAAATGTGGTCACAAGCCAGATATTACACAATGACGAGGGGGGCGGAGTAATGGATGATCGCTATCGGCTTTATTAAGCATGAACTCATCCGTAGCTCTTTGATATGTGATCAGCTGTCGCGTGACACACATGAGAGAGAATGTGGAGACAGGAGGGAATTAAACATTTGGAAATATTTTTGAATAGACAGACAAAGTAGGACAGGGGAGTTGCATCCACTACATCGCTTTCAAAAACAATGGTCACGTTATGCAATCAATACTCTGCATTGACATTATTTTGATTGTTGCTGGTTTTAGAATCATAATCTGGCTGCGGGGATTTGCTACCGTCAAGGATCATCAGTAATAGGAACTGACTCTATCTGTAGGTCTCCCACTTTTATCAAGGGTGCTGCGATGGGTTTGATATCCCACCACCCCCCAACAAAAAAAAACCCCTGCAAAATTGAATTTCTCGGTCATTGTTGCATAAGCCTCTATTATCTGTCTTTTCCAAACAATTATAGAGCAGACAAATATTGGAAAAGATCAGAAACAATGCTCGAAAAACACAACCTGACTCGGTTCTGAAAGATGAGATCAGTTTTGGGGTGACCTAAAGGAAACAACCTTGTAAAAAACAGTATTGTTTTCTTTAAAATGATGATGTTCTCTAAACAATACCTGTGGGTACAGACCAGCCAAAACAACAGAAAACGCTGGAATACGCAAACCGGGCCCAAAAAGATGGTTAGTAATGGCTCCACCCTGCTGTCAGCTACAGTTAAAAAAACACATCAAAATATTTTTCAATATAAATAAACACTGAATCGGAATTCTGCACTTATACCTGCTGTGTAAACCCAGTAACCCAACTAGCAGCAAGATGAGCTCCGAGACATCTTATGAATTAACCAGTGGCTCATTTTAGGGCAGAAAAAGGGGTATTCACTTTTCAGGAATTTAAAAAAAAAAAAAAAGCTGATAACATCTTCTTAGCTGCAGCCATCAGAGTACTGACAGCGAGGAGAATGAGATTAGTACGAGTGTGATGGAGCATTGCAATAGCTGGAAGATGGCCCAGCGAGTCTGACAGCGACATCAAGTCCCGCTGTTGGCCAATCTCTCAACCCAGCAGCTGTCACCTGAGCACAATGGAAACCCTAAACACTTACTTTATATTCATGGTTTTCACACCCAGCACACGACACATTAACATGTTCGGTGCTACTTGACATTTTACAATAGCCCTTGCACACTTTCTGCTAAGGTGATTGAAAACGGGGGGCGTTTATGTGAAAGTCTCAAAAAGAAAAAGGGAGACAAGATATACGTTATCCAAGATGACAGGCTGCAAGAGCTTTCTACTTGACATTGCCCAAGTCTGTCAGGAAGGGGATGTGTTGAAATTTGCTTTATCACCAAAGGAGTTGACCTGTTATGGAAAATGTACTTTTGAATTTCTTGCATAAAAATAATCTCTGGAGTGCCTGCCCACCCATCAAGTGTGACATGAAAATAAATTGGTATTGGTGGACTTATTTCGCTTGACGTCCAAGATTTGTGCGCATCTAGGTGAAGATCCACCATTTTCAACCTATGATCGGACTGAAACACGACGTACCCCCGCCTACTGCCCGAAGTCAGCTGGGATTGGCTCCAGCTCGCCCGCCACCCTCCTGAGGTAATATAAAGTGGTTCAGATCATGGATGGATGGATTCATTGAACTGGGGGTGGGGGGGGGTCTCACCTGTTCCAGGAGGCATATATACGTGGGTGGGAACTTTCTATAGATGATATTGTACCACATGTGGGAAACTCCGGCAACCCCGCATGTTTTAAATGTTTCCCTGCTCCAACAAACCTGATTCAAATGATCAGGATTGTTACCCTGCCTTCTGCCGAGTTTGTTGATGAGCAGATCGTTTGAATCAGGTATGGGACAGAAAACATCCTGGATACTGGTCCTAAAGAACCGCAAGTGCCCACGAGCAAACTGACGAGGCCACGAGGTACACCCGGAGTGGCAGGAGGGGAGCTGAATGGTTAACACAAGAGACAGGGCTGACGAGAACAGGTCATAACAAAACCCTGGAGAGCAAGACAAGACATGACATTTACATTGAACACAGCAACAGAAGACATAACATAAAACAAAACTAAAAAGAACAAAAACACCAATAATGGCAAACTGAATATGTCCCCCGAAACAACACATTTACTTGCGAATGCCATGTAGCTAGCAGGGTAGCTTCCAGCATAACAAAATACTATCGAGGGGGATTTACACTGAGTGACTGTTTGCCCAAGTCAAAATAGTCAAGAAAGAAAATCAGTAAATGTATTTATCAAAATCAAAATGAAAGTCTAACTGACATTGGTACCTTACTTTGCATGGGTATGTGTGTGTGTAAGTTTTCTCACAAGGACAGGCAACATAAAAAAATAAATAAATAAAAAATTTGAAATCCTCATGATGATTTGAAAGGACGGTAAGCCAAAAGACAGCGATTCGATTTGTGGAGCCCCCTGTCTAGCTCACGATAACAAATCACCACAATTATGGAACGTAATTGCAGTAATTTGACATCTCTGAGCAATTGTAGATCATCTCCATTAACTCACAATACCCTAAAACGAAGACAAAATGCAACCCGAAGACTGTCTTCATGTTATTATCCCTCCATTAAGTACGCGTTTGCATGCGGGTCTTATCTGTGTGTTTGATGCTTGAAAATGCCGCTTCCACAAGTCGAGCCCAGGGACTGTTGCGCATCCATTAAATGGTGCGGCCATCAATTCCGCAGCAGTGTAGTTAGGGAGATTGAAAGGCGGTGGGAAGGCAGGAGAACAACATGAACACCCCCACCTTGCTATTTCGAATTAGTGCCACCGTGTAATGCTTCGACTCTCAAACGGTGTCATGTCTGCCTTTGTTTTTGTTCCAGCTCCAGCTGGAGTGGAGGGCGTTTCCCTCCAGCAGGCGCACCTGCTCCTTTTCCCCCAATTAAAGCCTTGCCTTGTATTTAAGGACTGACAAGTTTCCAAGTCACTGTTGGATAGAACAATATTTCTTAATTAATTTATTTATTTTTTAACTTTGATCCATTTTTCATGTAAAACTTTTCGAGAATAGCATTAATACATACATACCATGGAAAATTTGAAGATCCTGGAATATTGCAATCGCGCTTCACAACCTAAGTTCAGCGAGATGCTGATTATTTTACAAACACACAGTCTAATTTTTGTGGTGCAACTGTCTACACTTTTATTTATTTTTTTTAACTCAATGAGAGGATTACATTTAAAGGTAATGATTAGTTTCAATGACTCAATTGCAAGCACTGGGCATGGGCATTTTTAGGAGTTCTGCATGGAAAGGTGGGTAGGTTGGGGGTTGGGATGGAACTCCACATTCTTGTATTAAATAAATGGCGGCCCCATAAAATATAAAATAAAATAGAAACCGCCAACTCAAGAAAGCAAACATTTACCCATTGAAATTTATGTTACCAGAAAAAGGCACACATTACTTTTGTGTGACACGAAATGTTTATATTGTAAATATACAGGCAACATTATTTATACTGAAATGAATGCATGGGTGCCCCAAAAAATAAATAAATCATGCATTTCTCTTATGTAGCAAATAAAAAAAAAAGATGCTTGGCTTCCGGAAAATGTGCTTGGATAATGGATTTTTAATCTTACATATTCTTTCTTTAGTTCAGTTTAATGTGTGCAAAAGTGGGGCGGAGTGCACATTTGCAGATAGCCAACAGCTTTGTGAAAACATATGCAAGGTTCATGTGTCTAAAGTGTAAGGTGCTGTGAGTAGCACTTATTAGCGAACGGGAAAAACGACTCACCCGCCGCAGGGCATGTAATGATGCATCACCACTACGCCTCAATTAAACAGCCTGCAATATAATTTCCATTACATTTTTCAGAGAAGTTATTGAGTTGGAAGCGAATCAGCCATCACAAGTCTACCGTACTTGAAAGCATTCAGTCTGCTACCATATAATAAAAGTAAAGGTGTTTTACATGTCACATGTACAATATACAGAAAAATTACAGCAGTTCACAGCAAATCAATACTGGTGCCTTAGGAGCAGAAAAACAAAGGTCACATGGAAATATGTGCAAAACAGTCCAAACTGGAATCAAACCAGGGCATTTTTGTTCCTGTAAGGCAGATAAACTATCAGTTTGGGGTTAACAGTCTACATACAATGAACAAAGTACCGTATTTTTTGTACTATAAGGCACAACTAGAAGCATTCCATTTTCTCAAAAGCTGACAGTGCGCCTTATAATCTGATGCGCCTTATATATGGATCAGTATTCTGATATCTTGGACAAAGTATTTTAAATGTTCTGTAAAGCGCTTTGTTATAGCTGCAGCGGTTGTGAAAGCTCAATATAAATAAAGCTGTATTGTTTTCCTTTAGCGTAGCGCCATCTAGTGGATGCATGATGCAACCGCAGCCACTATTGTAGCTTCTATTCTATGCGCCCTATAATGCGGTGCATCCGATATTTGAAAACAGTTTTAAAATAGGCCATTCATTGAAGATGTGCCTTACACTCCAAAGCGCTTTATAGTGCGGAAAATAAGGTAAATGGAAAAAAAAAAAATCGGGAAGTAGAAAAGACTGTTGTTTTACTAGCTATTGCTCGTTCACTATGTTTTCCCAGGCAGATCGCCCAGCAGGTTACAAATTTCCATAGGTGCGTGGTGCAGAAAATCTGGGGACAGAGGTTGCTGAACTGAGGTATTTTTGAATTAGTGGAGCCATGCGGACCTCACGGACATGTCAAGCAAACTTGACTCAGCCAACCCTTGAACTGTGCAACGGTGTGCAGCCGGTATATTATGGCAGGTGGCATAATGTCCGAAAACTATGATAGATCCTCACCAATATTTATAGAGATATGTGTAGGCATGTGCTATTACAGTCTGAAAATATTAGAATGAATCTCTCAATATATTTCATTCAATTCACATCGAAAGGTAGCCTCTCTAAGTTGAGAAACAACAATGTCACTTCATGTACAAAAAAAAAATTGTAATCGGTTGTCACCAAAATTGATGTGCACATGGATATAAATATAATTCTAGTCTGAAAATAACAACACTGACCGCTATGAAGCATTGAGTATCTCAATTGAGATATTCTATAAATTGCCAAGGCGCTCGAATAAGTTCCTACCAACTGGCCGTCACTCTAGACATCCCTCCCCCAGTCTCATAGTTTATTGAGACCCCAGTCAACACAATATCTCAGACACGCCAATCAGACTGCAGCCATCCTCTTAATTGCGTCTCAAGCCTGGCCTGTCTCTACTTCCCTATCCCATAATCCTTTATTCAAACTCTGTTACAAGGGCACATTAGAATAACTTGGGTGGGGGTGGTCTGAGGACACGGGGGAAATGAGATTGGCAATTTTTACAGGCAAACAAGATGGCTCGAGTCAGCCCGGAGCTTTAATGCTGTGGTGAGTGGTTACTGTCCTTCAAGAGAGAATGTTTGCCCGTCTGGCCTTAACAGGAAGCTGTTAAAGCAGACTGAGTGGAGTCTGCTTGTTTTCTGCTATCATGAGCTATATTGCTGTATTGTAACATCGGTTGTAGTGTTCCACTAGATCACCAGTCCTTCAAATCACTCTTAAGCGGGATACACACAAAGATAATCAGGCTTAATTTGTGCATTTTATCGTTATTATACAACTGGTGGCCCCAACTGTTTTCAAAACAGATCGGAGCAAAAGAAAATCATTCTTAACACACCCCACAGCTAGGCAAGGCAAAGCAAGGCAGCTTTGTTTATATAGCGCATGTCATACAAAGCTAACTCAATGTGCTTCACATAATTAAAAAGATATTTAATCCTTTGAGGGACAGCGGTTACTACAGTGGACAGCTTACCGAGTTATCTGGTTACAGGGTGCATGAAAGGGTGAAAGGCACTTAAAAGAAAACACGCACAAACAGAAGAATTTCCTACATGCAAAGGGGAAGTCAGGAAAGAGAGAGAAAAGAACATATAGTGCAACACCATTACATGGTCTCAGTATGTATGTGTGTGTGTGTGTGTGTGTGTGTGTGCATACACATGACATCACTACACACACAACACACACACATATATATATATATATATATATATATATATATACATATATATATATATATAGTGATGCTATGATTATGCCAATTGTGTAATCATGGAGTGTACTAATCGAAATCGTAATTGGATTTCGATTAAATAGCACAGCAGATCGAAAGCAAAATGAGTGCCCTCCATTCATCCATGATCTCGACCGCTTCTTCTCGAGATTCTTTTGAATGACGGATAGCAATCTGAAAGTCAGGTCAACATTTTAACCCAGTGTGCTATCCCTCAAACAATTTAATTTAATACTGGTGCCCTTCTGTATCACCCGCAAAAGGATTTAATTTGTGGTAAAACTGTCTGTCACTCTTCTATCGCCCATGGTATTTGAAAATTAAAACACAAGACGGCTTGAAACAATTAAAGTGCATACAGCACACGATCATCACATCGACCAGTCATGCAATTATGTCTTCACTGTTCTGTTTCAAAAAGGCACAAACACAAAAATATGCAATCAGCTTCAACGTAGTGCCGGGCAATAACTTGAAACATAATCGTGATTTTGATTTTAGCTTCTCACGATCGCTGCAACATTAGAATTGAAGAAAAACAATGTGCCAACGGGCACCGTGTGTAAATGCAAATTGTTGTATTGGGAAGATATCCTAAAAGGACCGTGTTGCATGCAGCAAGCGTGTGACGTGGATGTTATTCTGCCTTCCCTAAGTAGGCTCTAAGCTGTTTAATGACACCCCAGTTGGAGTCTAGTGTCAAATTCAATACAGTGGTAGCTCTACTTACGAACGTCTCTTCATACGAAATTTTCAAGTTACAAAGCACCTCAACAGGAAAATACTGCCTCTTGTTACGAAAGAAATTTCAAGATCGAAAGGTAAAATTATGGTACAGGGACCTGTACCGTATGTGTCTATGAGTGTAGATAGATAAATAAATAGATATGTGTCTATGCAGCACCGTCGTCATTCTCCCCTCGTTCCATAAGGTGTTCCGATAGTTTTATGTAAATGTGATTCACCCAGAAAAAGTATTCACGAGTCCGGCGATCGCTCACTCTGCTGATGTTTGCCCTGGACTTTTTCAAAGGATTGTTAAAAGTGGACAAAAGCAAACGTCCTTGGATCAGTTCCTTCCAAAACGCGAGGCAAAAACCACTTCTGAGAGAGAACATAAAGAGGGCAAAAGACGATGAGGACGCAGTTAAAAGTTAAATGACCATCATTTTCTTTGCTTTTTACATTATGCGCAACTCTCATGTATTGTGCAACAATTTAATTGTTATATGTATTTGTTACATATTTTGATGCATTTTTATGCTTTATAAAACATTTATGTCTGAATTTTTGGTCGGGGGTAGCGGGCTTGGAATGGATTATTCACATTGAAAATGTGTCGACTTCCAACATTTTCGAGTAAAGAAATTCCTTGCAGAACCAATTAATTTCATAAGTAGCGGTACCACTGTACACAACAAATTATTCACAATACGTCATATTTTTGAAGGATTGCCAGTGTAAGATTTGTACCTTCAATAAGTCAGTCAAAATGAAGTTCAATACATTTACCTAATAAACTGATTTTACAAAAAGATGAGGTCTCAGTCAGCAAACACGTCAGTTGACTAACCAGCAAGTATTTTGTTTGCTTGATGAACAATTATTGAGGAGTGAAGCACTCAAACTTACCCTTGTTCTTCCATCATTTCTTGGAGCTCCATACATTTGAGTTCTACCCTCCTCTTCCTGTCATGGTCCAAGATCTCTCTCCGTGGTTTTTTAACCAAGACCGGCTGTGGTTCTTCTTCCTCTGCACCTGGCTGTCCTTCTTCAGGTTTTGCTTGTAGGGTCGTTGGTGGCGTTAGGCCGCCTCCTTCCGTTGTTGCCCCCATATCTGGTCCTGCCGCAGGCGCAGCTGGTTTGGTGAGCCCGTTTGCACCATCGTTGGGAGTTGGCACCCTCGCTGCATCATACATGATGACTGTAGTCTGTGGGGTCAGAGGAGACAAAGAGAAAATGTTAACTCGGCAATTGGCAGTCAAAATGACTCAATATGTTTTATTAGGAAGATAGGAATTGAGCTCAAAGGGATTTACCCCCAAACACTTGGATGTTAATCCAGGAAAATGGAGCAGCCCAGACATCCGCCAAGGCTAATACATTTGTCAAATGTAAAATCAATGCTTGAATGGCTACAATTCAGAAGTTCCATGAAGGAAACGATTCATAGAGATCCGCAATCTCATCTGGATCGATACAATCAAAATATACTTATCTTCCATAGCCGCAACAATTTACAATCTGATCTGCTCAGGTTTTTACAGAGACGGAAGCTTATATAAGCAAAGCAATACAAGCCTCTGAGCATATTACAGATTTTTCCATGTAAAAATGTCATGGCTACTAAATATAGATCAGAGCCAGGGAGAATTGATGATGTCCTTGGTCTTAATTGAGATTCAACAATAAGCTTTCGGATGGACTCTGCAGTCTAATTTTGTGTAAGATCGGGATCCTGAATCTATCACACACGAAAACTGACACAGATAACGTTTGACAAGATAACCTTGACACAGTCGTACTCCATGGAGAAAACGTAATCCTCACTCATATGCGCACCCGCAAGGGTTTTGGAATACCAGTAAGGCAGGAAAAAAAAAAAAAAAAAAAGTTAATTGCCAAGCCAAACACCCCGGAAGCGGATCCTTTTTGTGATTTGATGTTAATTTGTCATGACAAGCTGCAGGATTTCTGTCTGAATTGAGCAGCACGTCAGAACGTTATGATGTGATGATCACAACAAACGCAACACGGGATTCAGGCTACATGCAGACATGCATGACTCACAACAGTGCTGGCACCGGCCGTGCTCTTTTCGGCAGGAGCGCACCAAAATGATGCACAGTCCTACAAAAATACCATAAATGTGTTTTGGTTTTTTTTGCCAGTGTCACAACATAATTTTATGTTGCATCAGTTGTTAAATGGCTGTTGTCGTATGCGGCTTCATAATAAAGGCCATTTGCGAACAGTGCTTTGTTCTCATTCGACGGCATGTTGTCGTATGCGGCTTCATAATAAAGGCCATTTGCCACTGTTCGCAAACGGCTAATTGCATAAATTGCTTTTTACGAACAACATGGTCGGACAAAAATAAAGCTTTTCTCACACTCGCGCGCACAGTTTAAACTTGACTTGAGCCTGCTTTCTTCTTTTCTAACTTTTCAAACTTGTGGTTGCATTGCTCATTTGATTAGAGGGTTGTTATTATTTGTGATTTTTTTTTTCCAGGAATACAACCTCATCTGGTAAAAGTGGCACGGGAACATTTTGATCGAGATGAATTGTCCTATTAAGATCAGAGTGGAAGATCGCGTGCGGAGAATTGCGCCGCACGTACTCTGGAGTCTCCCACTGCAAATCTAATGGCTTCATTTTTCATTGAGGAGCCACAGATGAGAAGCTGAGGCACTTAATCATTGTCATAGAGGGTTGAAGCTAACAACGGAAGACACCAGGCAGGGGGGGGGGGGAACCGGGCTACCACAACATTATCTCATCACAAGTTTTGTATGCCGGGCAGTTGATGCCGCGTCCGCATGTGGACGTCTGACTGGTTAATAGCGGATGCCGCCGTCTGAACAGGCGCATTGGCTCTGGCTGTAGTCGACTCAGCCTTCAGCTGACAGAACAGGTGTCAGGACAGCAGGATGCGTTCCGCCATAAATTAGCACTTGATAATCTGTGACAACGTTTTCACATCTGCACACACGATCACTAGACTAAACACTCTTCTGTTGAAAGATCATCTATGAATTCGGGATTAGTATAAAACTCCTCAGAGCCTTGAAGGCTTTGGAGCGCGGTACACTTCACAAAAGTCATCTTTTCATTTGGATATAAATGAGTGTTAGCAGCATCAGATCTTCCAGTTGACTTGCCTAAGTGATCAATGGCAGTGGAAGCTCAGAGCCAGATTCTTTCGGTCTCTCATCATACTAATAGAACTATTATGTGTCATGGTGAAACAAATTGCCCCCCCCCCCAAAAAAAAAGTCTTTCCTTGCATTGTGTTCCAAATGAGGTAAGAAAGGGCGCTGCGTGAGGTGAAATCAGCAGACACATGTCCGAGTCCTCTGCGGGGGGACTAAAGGTGATCTGCAGTGCTGCATTAATGCAGTCTTCAACCTTTTTTTTTTCTGTGAGGACTTGTATAACTGTCAAGAAATCGTGTGCCAACCATGTTTGGAAATAAACATGAACAGAAACAGGAAACAAACAAAAACAAAGCCTTGAGATGAGAATGCTCCGTTTTCTTTTCTGCACCACACACAAAGATGCAGGTACTGTACCGTCGATGGCGCAATGATTTTGCACATGAAAATTAAGTAGCATTGTCTCTGTTTACTTCACAACGATGCAGCTTACACAAAGCTAAAATGCTGGAATTTGCTCTGGAGAAAAGAAAAAGAAAAAAAAAAAAAACAAACGAGAATGCCCAGCTTCAAAAGCCTTTTTCCCCAAGAACGTTTTTGTCATGCGGCATGAGAACATGTTGTTTTACAAAGTCACAGCTTACCATGGAGTCCAAAAATGCAGCAAAAATCACCTGATTTGTTGAGGGTGCGATACCATCCGTCCATCCATCCATTTTCTGATCCGCTTTATCCTCACAAGGGTCGCGGGGGTTGCTGGAGCCTATCCCGGCCGTCTTCGGGCAGTAGGCGGGGGACACCCTGAACCGGTTGCCAGCCAATCGCAGGGCACACACAGACGAACAACCATCCGCGCTCACACTCACACCAAGGGACAATTTAGAGTGTTCAATCAGCCTGCCATGAATATTTTTGGAATGTGGGAGGAAACCGGAGTACCCGCAGAAAACCCACGCAGACCCGGCCGGGGAGAACAAGCAAACTCAACACAGGAAGGCCGAAGCCGGGATCGAACCCACGACCTCTGCAGTGAGGTTGATGTGCTAACCACTGGTCCACCGGGCCGCCCTGGATGAGAATATTGTTTTTTTTAGATTGACTGTATATATTTTTTCCAGTTGGAATCATACGCAGCAGGGCACTCCCAGCACGAAGCATATGGATGGCCATCTGTCTATCAAGTCATAACAGATCTGTTGTTGTCACCGCTGCAGACGATGTGAATTTCCCATTCAAAAATATATCAGATGCTTTGTATATAAAACACAAGGCACTAATATGTTAATATTCTCATTTTACTGGTTCTTAGATGTTACAGTTTGAATGGAAGCTATCCTGTTATTGTCTTGTTGAAGTGCATTCCATTTTTGACTGCTGCTCGGACGAGGCAAAAAGCAGAGATGAATTGAAGCCTTTGAGGCATTTTCTTCAATTAAGGCCAACTCTTAAAGCTTCACTCCCACTTTCCCCAACCCCCATTGTCCTTTTGTCATCGCATGCTTCGTCACTCTGGGGCCCAGTGATTGAATTACAGCGTTTGAACAGACAGCCATCACTGCTTGGTGGAAGGAACAAAATCTTGACCTTGACTGAGAAAAGCAGAAAGCACTCTTATTGCTGTTTAAATTCATCTCAAAGGTTTACATAGAACTACAAGCAATGTCTTTTAAAAAGTGTGTCTCAAAACGTTTTGCGGTGTGTCTTTGCTTATTTTATTATTCCTAAAGGAGCCATCTTGATTTCCGGTATGTTTGATTGATTTCGGACGATTGAAATCTTTAGCTTAATTGGCATATTTTAAGAATTTAGCTGGTTTACCTTTTTGGGCTACGTACAAATTGTGAATACAGGTTCTGCGATGGAAATGGTCTGGCACATTTGGAGCCTATTTCTGAGAGTTCGGTCACTTACTATTTGAGTTTGCAAGTCTTTTGCAAGGCTGTAGTTTAAAAAAAAAACAAAAAACAATGTTTGGGTTTTTTTGGAACCCTTTGAGACAACCAGCGTTGTTGTTCATGCTTGTTACTGAATTCCAATATGACCATATACTTTTGATTGCTACATTATACATTAGTGTGTCATTCATATAAACACAAAATTGAAATGATGTGTAATGAATGTGTTTAATAATTTACATTAACACATAGGCGGCCCAGTGGTTAGCGCGTCGACTTCACAGTGCAGAGGTACCGGGTTCAATTCCAGCTCTGGCCTCCGTGTGTGGAGTTTGCATGTCCTCCCCTGGCCTGTGTGGGTTTTCTCCGGGTACTCCGGTTTCCTCCCACATTCCAAAAACATGCATGGCAGGCTGATTGAACACCCCAAATTGTCCCCAGGTGTGAGTGTGAGCGTGGATGGTTGTTCGTCTCTGCGTGCCCTGCGATTGGCTGGCAACCGTTTCAGGGTGTCCCCAGCCTATTGCCCGAAGACAGCTGGGACAGGCTCCAGCGACCCTTGTGAGGATAAGCGGATTGGAAAATGGATGGATGGACATTAACACATAATTAAAACATCTGTCATCCAATCTCAAAGACACGATGCCAAAACCAGCCTGTAATTCATCAAATATCCTCATGTCTGTCTTTGCTAATAGGCAAAACCCAAATGATTCACAAAGAGCAGGTGGGAATAAATTCATTGTCAGGCATTTAAAGCCTTTGGAGAATAAGAATAATAATTTTAAAAAAGCAACTATATACTGAGTGACACAAGGGTAACATTGTGTCAACAATTTCAGAAGAACTTCACACAGCGAATATATATCCGATTTGGAGGTTAGCCAAATCACAATTTCGGCAGAGGATAAAAGAGCAGCTTTCTCAATCGGATGATTTTTCATTCTTTCGTCGTGTCAAATATGTGCATGCAGACGAGTGTACATTCTCAAGGTTGGTGTGAATAAAGTACTTGCTTCAAAATTCACGACGGGTGTTTGAGCCGTGTATCGACCAATACATTTGCAGGGCACGTCCACTTCCATCTCTTTCTGTGACCGCGTCGGTTTCTGTTTTTCTCCACCTCACTTCAAAGAACAACCTGTTGATCATGGCAAG